CCTGCAGGACAGCGGGGCTGTGCAGGGCTGCAGCAGGAACCTCCCACGCTCTCTTGCAGTCCTCTGGGGGGATTTTCTAGGAGCACCTCATGTGTGAAACGTAGAGCGCAGCAGCTAGTTACCTGTGTTCATAAACTGTTAAAAAGAAAATTGTACAGAGATTAGCATAAATAAATTGCTTTCCTCCAATAAAATGGGAAAATTCAGGCACATCTGTTTCCTCCTTGTTCTGTGAGCAAGCACGGGTGCCTGCACACTCTCAGGCCCCTCAGAGCTTCCCGCAAGCTTTTTGTGATTTTAATTTTTCAGCACTGCCACGTTGGGATCCCAAGGCTCGTAACCATAAAACTGCTCAGCTCCTTTAGGTATTCTTGAATTAAATATCCTGGATTACCACCAACTGAGAACCAAACACTGAAGGGCTACGGAAAACTTTCTCATCTGTAGTTTCAAGATGCCTAAAGCCTCTTGAAAATTTAAGGCTGCTACGAACATCTCTGGTCTCCTAATGAGAGTACTCTTGATATCATCTCCGATTCCTAGTTTGAGTTGTGGAAGAAATCACAGGTTGTCCTTTTCTTCTTAGGTTTCACCACTTCAAGCAGATGAATAATTCATTATTTTAGCTGAAAAAAAATAGTTCTGTCCCTGATGATCTTCCCAGTCGACGTCCCATGCAGTTTCCATGTTCAAATCCCAGTGTTCCCTCCAACCCCGGGGCTTGAGCCACTCAGGCTTGTCTGCTCTCACAACTCCCGCAGTCGATGCTCTCTGGGGAGCTCCAGGACTTCGTGTCACCTCGGGAGCGTCTCTCCTCATTCACTGGTTGTCCCAGAGTTTTGGTTACGTGTTGGACTCTGCACTGCGCAAGCCCAGATGATGATTGATCTTCAACTGAAGAGCAAACCCAAGGGCTGCGCTCGCGGGCCGAGACCATTTGCAGTTTTCATCCCTGTCCAAGAGGGACCAGAGGCCACTGAAGGATTCTGCTCTCTCTGATGTTCGCAAGGGCAGGAACACTGGTACAGAGCTGCCACCTGGAAACGAGGGCACATAATTTGCTAAAAACTAACAATGTTCAACCACCCTTCACCTCCGCGTTTTACCTCATTAGGTGTAAGGGAAGAGGGAGGAGAAGCTGGAAAGGAAAAGGCCAGGCTCACACGAAAGCGGGGGAGGTCAGTGGTATGAAACTGTGGTGTTGGGTTTACTGGGGAGTTTTTATCAGATTTAATTATGGGGCGGGGGGGGAGGGCAGCCCAGCTCTGAATGCTTTCAATGGGAAATTTGTTATCAGATTGCTGAAATCCATCAGGCCAATTCTTCGAACTTGGCAAGCAATTAATGCAGTTGGCAAGTTGAGAACGCTTAAAACAGTGCGTAAATGTGTTTGGATCCAAGTTGCAGATTATGAGATCCTCAAAGCTGGTGCTGCTTTTACAGATTTTGCAAAGTGCAGCCCAACAAAGTGGGTGGGTAGCTCACCGCAAAAAGCACCAAGCAGGCTCTGGGGAAAGGAAGGCGAGGGCACGCTCTTAAATCTGGACCGTGTGACTTCATCTTGGGTTCCAGCTCACGGGGCTGCGTTTCCCTCTGGGTTCGTGTCTTACCCTCGTTCTCAAATATTTTGACACAGTCAGAGCTACGCTCCCTATTTTCAGCGTATTTCACATGCATCTTGCCTATCATTTAGCGGCAGGCGTGAGGAAGGAGAGAGCAGGCTGACTGCAGCCCACCCTTTGCTATCACAGTATTTATTAGCAGGCCTTCCAAGGAAAGTTTGAAGGCCCCTGGGTGCTCCAGAGCCCGGCGTGCCTTCAAAACGCTGGTTGTGTTGTGCTCCAGAGCCTTTCCTACGGCCTGTGTTCTCCTGGCTGCCAGCTCACGCGTGCTGCTTCACAGAGATAAGGGCCGGGGCCGCGCGGCGCAGCTGGGGTGGAATCTTCCCGGCAGCCTGACTGCGACTCCCCTTTCGGGTTTTTTTGTTCTTCGCTGCCTACTGGGAGCTGCTTTTCCTGGTGGGAGGCAGAGAAGCGGCAGATGTGAGAGATCCTACCCTGGAAACACACGTTTCCCATGATTTGGGCAACGAGCCCGTCATTTTTAACAAATTATTTATGGCTTTAGCTGAAAGCGGAGATTTAATAAAGATACGGCTTTGAGACCTGGATGAATTTTCCGATGAATCAGTCCCAGCTGTTTCCACCACGTAGCAAAGCAGTTTCAGGCACCAAGAAGGAAACTGGGCTTTCAGGGACTGGAGCAGCCCAAGCGGAGCTGGCGATTTCGTGGGAAGCGACAAAGCCGATGGGGGAAGCTGTGCCCAGAGCCCGACGAGACGACGCGGATGGAAAAGCAGCAGACTGGCTCCTTGCCCACGCCGGAATTTTATCTCGATGGTAGCAAAACCTGGCAGAGTTCAGCTTTAAACAGGGAAATCCGTTTCTCTGTGCGCTGCAGCTCCCCGGTTTAGAAGTGGACTCGTCTGTATCCTACCGGTCGCCAAATGAGAAGAACAACTCTGAGGCTGCAGCACGGCCGGGCAGGGCGCACCTCTGGAGGCACCTGGTGGCGATAACCCGGCCACACTCCTGTTTTCTGAGACACAGGAGCTGGGCTGAGCAGTTTTGGTGAAGGTGGATTCATCAGGAATGTGCCACATTAATATTTGGTTTTTTAAAAAAGGAAAAAACCCCGCAAACGGCTGGAGGCCAAAGATTAGACATTTGCTCAACTTCTAACAGTGTAACACACGTATTAGAGAACTTAAAAACCTGAAATTGTTCTCCCCATAGAAACCTTACAAAGCCTTTTCCTATTTTCAGGCTGCCTTAAGGCCCCAAAGCTCATGAAATAATGCAAATACACGACCACGATCAAGAGAATCGAACCAGTGCCAGAGAACGACATTTAATGCAAAAAGCCTTCCCACCCCGCGGATCGGCAGAACGGGTTCCGCTGGCATTCCCTCGCGCCTGGGTCAGCGCTTCACCTCCTGCTTCACCCCTTGCAAGCTGTTCAGGAAAAAACGTCGCAGCGGTTGTGCTGGGCGGCTGCGGCAGGGAACGCGGCTGCGGATGAGAAGGCCGCTCAGAGAAGATGTTGCCTCCACTACAGCTACACTCATAGGAAATGCCGCTGCCCTACGGAGATTGCAAGAGAGAGCTCTCCCTCGGCTTTTGCAGCACGCTGCAGGGCAGCAGAGACAAGGGTTTACACGATTTCTAGAGCAAATAAACAGGAAAAAAAGCACAGAGTGTTTTGCAAAGGGCTAGTCGCGGGTCTTGGGAAAGTCGTCGCTTCTCATCCTAACGTCAACCTCTCTGCTGCTCCTCGGACACTTCGAGTGCCTCAGGACTCGAGCAGCATCCTCTCGGGCTGGCCCCTACGCTCACGGGCTTCACAACGGATCGAGAACTACTGGGCTGATGAGCAGGAAAATCTGTAGGAGTTAACTCGTAACCGTAACTTTCACAGCAGCTCACCAAGAACAGCAACGAGGAGGACTTCTGAATAACATTTTCAGTGTAAAATTATGCCTACAGGCTCGGTAAAGACAGATGCCAGGGCCCAGGGGGAATTCTCACACCCGTCCCCAGCTTGCCAGCAGCAGTCCAGCCTAAGGATCAACTTTTTGTTGCAAACTCTAGCCTTGTGACAAACCCTTCTGATGATTTTTGGCACGTAGGGACTTCTGAACAGCTACGTGTTACATGGCTCCATCTTCACAATTACTAGGAAAACTCTTTAGGGTCCAGAGCTTGTGTTTATTCCCTATAGACTATTTTTTTTTCCTTTTTCCAGGTTCAGTGTAGAATTTAATAGTGCTAAATTATGTGATGTTCTTGAATTATCATAAACAGACCTCCAGAGCCCAAATCCTCACTGAAGTCACCAGCAGGAGGCGAGGCTGTATGTTGTGGGTTCACTTTTTCATTTCTGTTTAACTTATTTATGCAGTGGTGGTAAAGTGTTTTACTGCTTCCTATCTCCCACTTGACCGTACTCATCAGCTATCTTATGGCCGCACTCCAATGGCCAGTAACATCCTTTGGGGCCATTTCCTAATAAAAGTATTCAAACCCCCTTGTTATGTTAATTTAGCCAACAGGTAAAAAGTCAAGTAACCAGAACCTGGGCAGACTCTACAGGAAGATCAGGTCAATCTCAAGAACATACGGGGATGGTTCTGCAATTAAACGGTTTCATGAACTGCCCCCTTTTTGCGAGCGCTCTGTTTGTTTAAATCCTGAAGCAATAAACCATCACTGCTTTGTAGACTGTCAGCGCACAAACAGGAGCTTTGCCTCCTAAATCCAAGCTCCGTTGCCCAGAATTCGATTTGGCGGAGAGGCACGCCCGTGATTCGGCTGCTGCCAAGGGACGTGGGACAAGCTGCGACGCTTCAGCAGGTCGAGTGGAAGACCCCGCCGACTCGGACACCCCGAGCAGCCAGCGCGTTGTACTCTTGCACTGCCTTCTCCGTTTGCAAGACCAACACGTCGATCCCATTCCTCTTCAGGTAGTCCACAGTAGATGGTGGAACCTCGGAAAAGGGAAGCACAAGCGTGAGATTCTTTACCCCTCGCATGCTGTAAGGCTTGAAGAAAAAAGGGGGCTGATGCCATTTGTTAAGAGATGCACTTAAGGAAGTGGTAGTGGCCAAAGCAATCGTGGGCTCAGATGTTTTGAAGGTTGCTTAAAGTTTTCTTCTCTTGAATAACACAACTCTTCACTCTCCTTAACACAGTCTGAAATGCAGCTTTGTCTTACAAAAATAAATGGAACTGGAGTGAAAGGTAACGAATTAAATAAGGTGAAACCTCACAAATTGCTTCTCAGGAAGCGAAGCCCCGCACTTCACAGAACCACACAGAATCACAGAATTGTTGAGGCTGGCAAAGCCCTCTGAGATCATCCAGCCCAGCTCATGCCCCAACACCCCCACCTGGGCCAGACCAGGGCACCAAGTGCCACATCCAGCCTCTCCTTAAACCCTCCCAGGGATGGGGACTCCCCCTGCCCTGGGCAGAGCATCCCAGGGCCTGAGCACCCTCTCCGGGAGGAAGGGCTGCCTGAGACCCAACCCCAACCTTCCAAGCTTTCTGATACCCAACCTAAACGCTTCTGAGCTTTCTGCAAAGTTTGCCTGCAGAAATGACACCGTCAGCATTAGTTACAGAAACACCCAATTATCAAAGCACTTACAGCTGGCTAGAGAGCTAGTTCAGAACTGATTCTAAGGCGGGGGGGGATTACGAAATTCTCCTTGTTTGAACTGCTCCTGGAGCAGAATGTAAACGTCTCTACTGCTCGACACTGATGCAGCTACAGAGGAGCTCCGATGCTGGTCCTGTCAGGAAGCAGGAGACTCCTGGCAGGGGCTCAGTCACACTAAATCAGCATCTTGAATTCCATCCCCCCTCCCCTCCTCCAGTAAAGCATCACAGATTAACTTTTCTCCCCCCTAATCAGAGGGAGCAAAAAGAGTTGTAGTTAAATTTCTCACGGAACCAAAACCTACCTGCAAAGCCTCGCTCATGCCACGACCGATCACCACGGTTTTAGCCCCCTTCTCGACAACTTCTTCAAGGTCAGCCGGCTGCACTCCCGGAGAATGCTAATGTCAGGGGAGGGAAAAATCAGCCTGAGCACTGACAGGGCAGCCAGGAGCTTCACTGCATCGCCCCCACCAGAAAAGACCTTTAAGCCCATCGAACCCATTAACTCAACAGTGAGGCGCCTTCATCTGGGTTTTGAAGCTGCCCGCAGAGCAGCAGGGGAAATCGGCAGTGCCAGAACATCACACGGCCCTCTGCTCTGCATACGCAAAGCAGTACCACTGGTAATTAAAAAAAACGTATCTTATATGCAGATGAAGGGTGATAGTTAATCAGCTGATGGCATTATTGTCATCCTTTATTAATCAGTTTAAAGTAGAGATACCTTACACATTTTTAAAACATTTGTCTAGCAGCATTTTATAAACACTTAAGGTGAAATCAAGAAATTGCAACATAGTGCTGACTGCTTTCAAACAAACAAAACCTCTTGTTTGTAACACAGACTGCGGCCAGCCAAAATCTGCTCACTTTAATTACAGAGAGCTCCTCAAATAGTTAAACTTGTTAAATGCTTTTCTTGTTTACTTTGCAAATCTCATTTACCGAAGAGGACTGAAACACTGATTAGCTCCACTGTAGTTACCAGTTCAAGTTTCTGCATTATTCTTAATTTTGAGAAAGGAGTATCTGTATCCCTTGAGGGAATAAAGAGCTTTCACAGCACATCGACTGAGTGTTTAAGGTACAGCCCTGTACTACATACACTTGTGAATACACAAGCACACCTGTAACATCAACATAAGACAGTATCATGTCGCACTAATTCTCCTCCTGGATTAGTTTCCTATGGCCAAGTGTGAGACACGGCACAGCCTGCGGCCAGAATTTGGCCCTTCTAGTGTCCATTTTATTAATTTATAAATATTATTCCCTCCCCCACTTTTGGGGTTTTTTTTGGGGGAGGGGGCCAGGATTCTGAAGTTCTTTTAGAGGATCAAGATGAGTTTCTCACTTGAAGTAGGTAAGGCCGCTGCAGACTTCTGGAGAAGGTACTTTTTATGGTTTATCCACTGTATCTCCAGAAATCACAATGTTCTTCGCATGAATGAAGGTTGAAACACCAGATTAACAACAGGTTTCTGTTGTTTCACTGGTCAGTGAGCTCTTCTCTTCAATGCCCTTGGGTCATCTCCTGCTCCCCTGCCCCAGGCTCCAGCAGCCTCACACGAGGTGTCGGGGTTCTCAGCCCTGTCACCGCCGCAGCTCGCAGAACCGAGCAGGTGAGGCTGAACCAGCTCCTGAACAGGCTCCTGAAGCTGCAGGTGAGGGAAAACTTCCATGGTAGAGCATCGCTTCCAGCAGGGGGACTGAACTTACAGAATCATAGAATCATTCAGGTTGGAAAAGACCTCGTAAGATGAGTCCAGCTGTCAAGCCAACATCACCGTGACCACTAAATCATGTCCCCAAGTGCCACGTCTACACTCTTTTGAACCCCTCCGGGGGTGGGGACTCCGCCCCTGCCCTGGGCAGTCTGTGCCAGGGCTCGATCGTTCTTTCAGTAAAGAAATTTTCCCTAATATCCAATTTAAGGAAGATTATCCCTCCAGGAAAGCTTTAGCCTGGCTGGTATCTGGAATTTCGACAAAAGAGGTACTTCACCTTCACAGTTCTCCACGTTGTGCTCCCTTTAAGCCATTTACATGTGGCAGCCAAGCCTGGGATGCGGAGGGCCCTTCAACAAGCAGAGCTTCCTCAGACCAAATCACCACAAGTACGCGTTCGCGATGGAACAGGTAACGCTTCTCCTTGGGGGGTTTTAAAAGAGACTCGAAACTTAGGCAGAAAGAACCGGTATGGTGTACTCCAATTACAACAATTAGGTTGCTGTCATATGATAAGTCCTCCTGAGACACTAAAGCCAGGGAACAAAGGGATTTTCTTTGCTTACACAAGACACTCTGATCCAGGGCTTCCACGTGTTTTGCAGGACACCAGCGTCACTAAAGGAAACGTGTAACACGCCAGGATAACTGTATGGTTGCAAATTTGTTTTTTTTAGCAGGAGACGTTCTTTCCAGCTTTGGCCTTCCTTTCAGGATTCCTGCTCTTTTTCGCCCATTAACAGGTGGTACTGAAACGCAGCCAGCTGGGGAGGCGGCCTCTCCTCCCCAGGGGCTAAGGTCAGAAGAACTCAGTGCTTGGTTACAGAACCTTGCCCAGCCAGTTATGCAATTCTCCCGAGGAAAGAACCAGGTACCAGACAGCAGCCTGACAGTGGGGAAGGAAAGGAAGCGATTTATTTCCAGCCAGAGGGTGGGATGTGGCCAGCACTGCTTGTTCCCAAACTTCACGTCCACCTACCCCCAGGAAAAACGCATTCAAAGGAAGCGAGAACACTGGAGTCTACCCTAAGGAAAGGTGCAGAAAACGCATCTGGTGAATCCTACTGTTTCCAGGGCTTTTTTGCAGAGCTGGAGGTGCCATCTCTAAAAGCTGGGTTGTATTCCCACATTTGTCACTTGCTATTCATTTTTAACCAAGTCACCTAACTCTCCAGAGCTGCAAGGGGGATAGAACTGACCTAAAGCAGGAGCTTTATAAGTTACCTCTGTAAGACAAAACCTTAAGAGTTTTTTTTTACCTCCGGATGACACAAAAAGGATGCCAGAAAACCTCCCTCCCTGAATAATTCAACTTTTTTGTTCTCCTCTGATTTTAACATAACATAGACTCGGTTTTCTTGTTTATGGTCTTCCTGTCACCTGAAGACATGCCCTGTTAGAAACTTTAAAAGGAAAGCGTGGCCTCCTAATGCTAGTAGGTGGTTATAATCCGAGACCAAGGTTTTCAGGCGGTGGGAATGAATATCAAAATGTGACATAGCTGGGAACTAGTTGGGAACTTCTCAGCTACTGTATCTGTTCCACTTCTCCAGTCACATAAACCAGGAGAACAATATTGTCAAACATGCTAAAAGCAGCTCTCAGCACACAACCCCCCCTGCAAGGAGCCAGAGGAAACTTCATTGTTTTTTTTTACTCAGCCACGAATAAAATACATTTTAAAAGGTTACATACGCATCTTTCCCTCTGCAGAGCACAGACAGATTTGCATGACAGCACCACCTTGCCCCTGGCACCATATACTCTGTATAAACTGAACTCACACAGCTTAAAAAAGTTGTGTTCCCCCAAAGGTTCTGCTCTACAGGTATCCTCGCACAAGCCCTAGTACGGTGGGGAACTGCCCTCAAGTTCCTAATGCAGGAGACACGACTGCTTCTACAGCTGCAACCCCAACACTAGTCCATGTTCTAGTCTGAGTGGGTTTACAGGTAAGGTTTAAAAATTGTGAGTGCAAGCACTTAGGATGTGGCTACCAAGAGAAGTCCAGGTGTGGTTAGCCAGACCGGGAGCTCTTGGTGGAGAAACTCACGCGTGTTACATCGTACCTGCATGCTTCTCCTCTCAAATAAGTACAGGGGATCCCCAGGAAAAGGGTATAAACTAAACCACATGCATTGTCTTCCAAGTGCATAAAAGGAGTTGCTGCAGATTTCTTTCAGCTTCCCATACGGTTTTTTCTGCCGGTCAAGGCAGATTTGTTTCCATGGTCTGAAAAGAGGCTGTGACCAGTACCCGATGACAATTGCACTGTGTGAGGGCTCCGTGGTGTGCGAGCTCGGGGGATTCAGGAGGGCTGGCAGCAACAGTTGCTGCGCCCTGACGCTGCAGGACACCACGTGTCTGCGTTCTGCCCACGCTGTCACTCCTGAAACCCACGCTCCACTCTGCCCAGGAAAGGTCTAAGGGTTAGATGAAAGGCAAAGGCAGCTCGCTGAATTTCTGCCTGGGATTTGAACTGCTGCCCTCTGGGCCATTCTCAGAGCCCCATTTAAAATCAGGGTGGACAGGAAATGGCAAACTTACGTTAGTCCCCGTTTCTCGCCAGTCCCAGGTCCGGCTTCCTCCCGGCCACACTTTGCAGTCCTTGTACGTGGTGGAGCAGCCCTTCACCTTCATCTGACCCCACGAAAGCGAAGCGATTTCGGGGGAAGACATCACGAAGTTGAAGCCAAGTCTGGAAAAAGGATATTTAATCCACAACAGCAGGCTAACATACGCAGCACGTTAATAAAACCGGAGAATTCTGTCCTTGCCTCAAAGGAGCCAGGGAGGAAACACTATTACAGACGTTACCCACGTGATATTGTCACAACAGAAGTGCCCTCAGGATTAGCAGATTTGTTGAATTACCAGTCCTCTTGGGTATTTTGTGCAGGATTTTGGGCAAATCATTTTACGTGCTAAATCTGTGCAAGTACTGGGGGCTCAACTTTTAAAACTATCAACAGGGATCAGGTCCCAGAACATCCTCTCACATCTGGGTTTTAATCTTCTCCCTAAAATATACAGTGAAGATTATAATAATTTCCTAAGATATCTGAGACAGATACACACTGTTTCTCCAGTCGCTTTGTTAATCTAAGGCAGTAAACGAGGTTAAACCAACCAACCCAATAGAAAACCATGAACAAAACAACGGCACGGCCATACCGCTAGAGCAAACAAGATTTTGAGAGGCCTGAAGGGGTCAAGGCCTTCTCTCCCTCACCACTCCTCACAGAGGCCAAGCCTCCCTACAGAATGTCTGAGGACAGTTCAACATCCAAATAATAACTTTTTCAAATGTTTGACCTCAATTGTTACTGTTTCAACCTAAACTCATTATTTCTAAACTGTTGTGGACAAGGAGGACAGCTTAACGTTTGTCTTTTCCACCATCTTTTGTTAGCCTGAGGACTTAACTCTTCATCTTTTTTCCTTTCTGTTATATTAAATAAAGTTCAAGTCCCTCCAGTCACGTTTTCTAAATCTCCTTTTTTTCCCCGGCCACCGACAGCCGTTGACCTCTGTCACGCAGAACTAGCCAGAGCACTCCAGCTGAGGTCTTATCGGTGCTGCTATCGACCGACGGCTTTTTGGTATTAACCACAGCAATTTTTAGACCTGCTATTGCAATCACAGCCGGGCATCGGTAGGGCGAGGCCTCTGCCTCAGAAAGCGTCGCCTCGCTGCACCAGGCAAGCTCACACCCTCCTCAGGGTCCGTGAGCGCGGCCCGATGGCTGGTGCGGTTCCAGCGGAGAGGATTCACAGGGCGAGCCCTTTGAAAGGCGTCGGAGCGGCACAGCAGTCGACAGACAGGTCCCAAGGGTGGAGGCACCTTTCCGCCCTTCGTGCTCAGGAGGGAGACGGTCTGAAATCCGCGTTACAAAGAAAACTGCTTGTTTCCGCTCCTGGCTGACCCAGAAAACCTGAGCGGCAGATCCTTCCCGGTACGCAGCTTCTCATCCTTCTTAATTTCTCAAATTCATCAGGAAAAAAAAAAACAAATCAATGTCTAATCAATAATCTGGTGGCACAGGTTAAAGAAAAAGTGCTGGCAGAAATCTTTGGGTTCCCAGGCTTCCAGCCCTCCAGAAAGCAGGTGTCACAGCAAACCGCAGCTCGGCCAGGCGGGACACGCTCTTCTCAGAGTGCCAGGAGCAGATCTCAGTGTCCCGCTTCAGACCTTGCATGAAGGGAAACCCACATCACCTGGGATTCAGGACAGGACTAAGTCTGCCAGAGGCGCTTCTTCCACAGGACAGTGGGGCAATTCTTTTCTTTCTTGCTCCTTTAGGAAGTTTTTTCAAATATTCCAGATTCTCTCATCACATACCCGCAAGGCAATGGGTTCAAACAAAGGTCTGCAAGACTGTTTTTTTTAAAAATAAATCTGCTCGGAGGGAGAAATAACCAGCAGTCACCCCCATGGACTGAAATCACCCACCAGCTAAAGAGTAAAGGCTCAATAAACCCTCTGGAACCTGGCTCTGAAGAATTAAAATAACTTTTGCCTGTGCTCATTTTGAGAGGAAACAGCAGAATTGGACCTGGAGGTGAATGAACAATAAAACGATTAGAAGTATCAGATTTCTCAGTCCAAAGAGTCTTACGAGGCTGGGACCGTGCGAGCAAACAGGCACAAACTACAAATAGGAAAGCAAGGGTTCCATATTGTCTTTCCCAAACAGCACAAAAATAAATAAATCGAAGAAAGAAAACTTAAAAGCCACAAATAAAAAATAGTAATCTAAAACTACTTCCCACAATACCATCAGAGAATATCTGTAAGGTCAGGTTACTTGAATTAATATCTTAAATTGGAGTAAGAATGAGCCTTTTAAGAGGAAATTTGATGCAGGGTATAGTCCAATCACAACCTGACAAGGAGTAGGAAAATATTTCCCACACAAATGAATTGTTTGGTTTGTTTTTTCTAATTATTCGCTGTGACACATGCGCAGTGCCAAAACATACAGTACCGCTTCGGATCAAAAGGGGCCATGAGCTACACAACTCACAAGTATGACCTAAACCAGCGAGTTCTATAAATCGCAGTAGTCTAAACACAAAGAGACGAGGAGGAGACGTGGTTCAGGAATCTATAAACGAAGTTGAAATTGTTTAAAACCATCAGAAATAAAGGAAACAGAAGAGCTTAAAGGGAGGCAAAATACAAGTTTACACGAGGAGACTGTACTGAAAGAAAGAAATGAAGCAGGGGCCAAGGATGGCAGAAGAAAAAAAACAGCTGAGAATGGAACATAAGAAACCTGAGACTCAAGTGGACTCAGGCAAGCGGCTGGATTTTAAATCGCCAGCACTCCCGTCTTCTGTGAAGGGGAACGTTGTTTCAGAGCAGCACCCACCAGCAACAAACAGAATAAAAAAGGCGAAGGAGAGCAGGGCACCAGAAAACACGTTATTGAGAGGCTGCAGAAGGAGAGAATGTTTCATAAAATCCAAGGCGCAACCTGAGATCGAGGAGGACAAAGGTGAAGGAGCGAGCTGGTGTGCGAGTAGCGCCCGGCAGAACAACTCCTCCACGGCACCAAAGCCCAGGTCGCTCTCCTGGGAACAGGGGCAAGGGGTGAAGGCGGGCGGCAT